CAGTGTCCATTTTAGATTTCTCTTGTCAAACATGTCAATTAAGCAGTGTAGAACTCATTTTCTTTCAAAAAATAATAAATCTGAATTTTCTTTTCACATTGTTCATTCTGATGTGTGGGGCCCTATTACTTTACCATCTGAGAGTGGCTACAAGTATTTTATTACCATTATCGATGATTATTCTAGATATACACGAGTATATCCCATGCGGATCAGGGATGAAGTACCAAAAATTATCCAAGATTTTCAGCGGATGGTCTTCACCCAATTTCAAACTGAAATCCAAATTTTTCAGTCAAATAATGCCAAACAGTGTTTTCATAGTGATCTCACAGAATGTTTTGCGTCACGTGGTTCACTTCACCATAGCTCTTGTGCCCGAACACCACAACAAAATGGTGTTGCTAAAAGAAAGAACCGACACCTCGTTGAAGTGGCCCGGGGTTTACTACTCCATATGAATGTCCCAAAACGCTTTTGGCTTGAGGCTGTCCTTTGTGCTACCTACCTCATCAACCGTATGCCCTCTCGTTGGTTAGAGTGCAAAGCCCCACATCAGCTTCTCTTTCCTAAGGCCCCCCTTCTTCACATTCCTCCTCGTGTGTTTGATTGTCGTTGCTTTGTCTAAAATTTGTCCCCCACTCGTGGGAAATTGAATCCTCGTGCTATTCCTTGCATATTCCTGGGGTACTCCTTCACTCAAAAGGGATACCGTTGTTTTGATCCTATTTCTCGAAAATTCTATGTTTCCATGAATGTCTCTTTCTTTGAGAGTGAGCATTTTTTCCCTATTTCTCCTCAGGGGGAGAGTAGGAATGAGGAGAAACTAGTTCAGCTCCCTCTTCTTCCTGATCCTCCTTTTCGTGTCTTCTTCCGTCATCACAAAGGCCAACCAAATTCAAGAGCTGTGGAGAATCCAAAAGTTGTACCTCCAGTGCCATTAAACTCTTCGGGGGCGGATCGTACTCACTCAGGTATCTTGGTTCCTGTTGATGTCCCAGACCCCATTGCAATTGATACCTCTGTTGCTAATGACCTTGACCTTCATATTGCTCACAGAAAAGGGGTTAGATCGTGCACCACTAAACACCCCATTTCCCACTTTGTTTCCTATGAAAACATTTCACCCTCTTTTCGAGCCTTYCTCACATCCATTGAYAGTGTCYCTATCCCTAAGAATGTGGCAGAAGCTCTTTCAGTACCTGAATGGACAGATGCTATGAAGGAAAAAATTAATGCCCTTCATAAAAATGGCACATGGAAACTTATAGATCTTCCTAAGGGAAAGGATCCAGTTGGATGTAAATGGGTGTTCATAGTCAAACATAGGGTTGATGGCACGGTAGAGAGGTATAAAGCTTATTTAGTGGCAAAGGGGTTTACACAAGTGTACGGAGTTGATTATCCAGAGACTTTTGCACCCGTTGCCAAGATGAACTCCATTAGAGTTCTATTCTCTCTTGTTGTTAATCTTGACTGGGATCTACATCAGCTTGATATCAAGAATGCATTCTTGAAYRGTGACCTTGAAGAGGAAGTTTACATGATACAACCCCCTGGTTTTCAGGCTCAAGGCAATGAACAAAAGGTGTACAGGTTGAAGAAGTCTTTATATGGGCTGAAACAATCACCGAGAGCCTGGTTTAGCAGATTCCATGCAACGGTTCAGCAGAAAGGATATAAGCAATGTCAATCTGATCACACATTGTTTGTGAAAAGAGGAGAAGGTAAAATTGTTGCTTTGATAGTATATGTTGATGATATAATTATCATTGGTGACTGGAAGGATGAAATCCAAAAGTTGAAGAGTTTTCTTGCCACACAGTTTGAAGTAAAGGATCTAGGTCCTCTAAGATACTTCCTAAGAATTGACGTTGCCCGCTCAAAAAGAGGTATCTTCATTTCCCAAAGGAAGTATGTCCTAGATTTAATCTAGGATACAAGAAAAATGGGAGTGAAGCCAGTTGATTCCCCCATTGATCCTAACCATAAATTAGGTGACAGCCAAGGTGAACCTATCAAGGATGTGACACAATTTCAGAGACTTATAGAGAGATTGTTATATCTTTCTATGACCCGCCCAGACATTGCTTATGCAGTTGGTGTCCTTACCCAGTTCATTCATACCCCTATGACCACTCATCTTGAAGTAGCAGAAAGAATCCTCTGATACCTTAAAAGGTTTACAGGTG